CATCACCCACTCCCAGGGCTTCAGCCTCTCCCTCCTGCCAGGGGAACCCCTGGCCCTGGAGCTCCCGCTTACCCCGCCAGGTCCCACAGCTCTGTCCCCAGCTTTCTGCCCGTGACCGCCCCTCCCCTCTGCCCCTCCCTCCTGCCCCAAAGTTCTGACAGCCCCGGTGTCTCTGGTAATAAACGGTACTGCAGTAACTTTTCCTTCTCTGGGGGTCACCCTGGCCTGGGGAGGCAGACGGGATGCCAGGCTCCTGGGAGGAGGGAGGAACAAGCGACTGCTTTGACTTTGGGACTCAAGACGGAGCCAATTTCACCATCAGAATAGGTGTAGCCAACACTAATTAGCACCTACTGAGTACCTAGCCAGAGAAGGCAATGGCACCCCACTCCAGTACTCTTGCCTGGAAAATCCCATGGACGGAGGAGCCTGGTGGGCTGCAGTTCATGGGGTCGCTTGGAGTCTGACATGACTGAGCGACTTCACTTTCCCTTTTCACTTTCATGCATTGGAGAAGGAAATGACAACCCACTCCAGTGTTCTTGCCTGGAGAATCCCGGGGACGGGGGAGCCTGGTGGGCTGCCATCTATTGGGTCGCACAGAGTCAGACACGACTGAAGCGACTTAGCAGCAGCAGCAGCAACAGTGTACCTGGCTGGTGCTGAGCCTCAAACCACCTCAGAGTTACAGGTCCTTACCTCAGCCTTGAGACCACCATCACCCCTATTGTATAGAGAACTCTGAAGCTCAGGGAAGGTCTCCATGACTCATACCTGGGTCTCCTAGGCTGGGTGACGTAGAGGTGAGGGGCGACAGTCGCTGTGAGTGGGAGCCATCCCCGCAGCCTGCTCAGAGAAGGCACCAGGGCAGGTGGGGTGGCGTCAGGTCAGATGTGTCAGGGCTGCGAGAGGACCCCCAACTCGGATCTGGCTATGAGACTAGGTCCTGGCATCACTGGTTATGTGGCCTCAGGCAAGATTCTTCTCTGAGGCCCAGTCTCCTCTTGGGTAGAGCCAGTTTCAGAGCAAAGATGAGCAGGAATGGTGAGGGCTTGGCACCTGGGTGGGCCCCAAGGTAGGGGCCAGGTGAAGGAGAGGCCCAGAGTCTGGTCTCGGGGTGCAGAGGCTGTTAACAGCATCCTGCTGACCTCAGCTTGACACCAGCACTTCTCGGGCCAGAGGCCATGGCGCAGTTGAGGGGCGTCAGAACATCCCGTGGGTGGATGGGGGCAGGTAGCCACTCCCAATGCAGGTGAGTGGAGGTGGGGCAGGGCTGCATGAGAAGAAGCCCAGAGATCCAGCAAGGTACAAGCTGGAGCCAGTTCCCTCTGTGACCTCAGGGTCACTTTCATCCTGGGCCCTGCCTGCATTGAGTCTGAGATAAAAATCTATTCAGGGTGTATTTAACCCACTGCACAACACAGGGGTCTGGGTATTTCATTCTGGGGCTGGGGGGTTGAACTCCCAGAAACCCAGTCCATCATCTGCAGAATGGAGGACATCAGACCCACTCTGCAGGGACATGAAGTCATCCTGTGTGTTAGTCCCAGTGCCCGGCACGCAAGGCACTCAGAAAAAGTCAGCTGTTGCCAAAGAAGGATGTGCCAGAGAGCGTGGGCACACAGACCCTGCAGCCTAGAGGCGGCGATGTCTAAGGCCCCGAAGGTCCCGGGCAGAGAGAGAAGACAGCAGCCTCGGTGGGGGGAGTGTAGTTCCCGCCTGCCCAGGGAGGATCCAGCAGAACCCCGGGAGGAGTGGCAAGCCGGGCATCGCTGCTGAGGTTCACCACCAGGGCACTCAGCCTGGCCTGTTAGGCAGAGCCTGCTGCCCGCTACTGTGAGAAAGAAGTGAAGGGGCCGGACCCTGGAGGGGCAGCAAGAGGGTGGCACTGAACTGGATGGGGCACCTGGTGGCCCCTACTGCCTGTATTTGTAGTATCCTGACTCCTTTCCCTCACCTCCAGAGGGCCTCTGCCTCCCCACAAACTAATCATATGGGTGGGGGTGGGAGGGTGGGGGCGGTCAGGGCTGGGGACCAAGGGGTCCTTTCCAGTCTCCCCACCCCCTGCTCCATACTCTTCCTCCCCCCAACACATTGTCTTTGGTCTTTAGCCAAAATAACCTCCCTCATAGCTCAGCTGGTATGGAATCCGCCTGCAATGCAGGAGACCCTCATTCAATTCCTGGGTTGGGAAGATCTGCTGGAGAAGGGATAGGCTACCCACTCCAGTGTTCTGGCCTGGAGAATTCCATGGACTGTATAGTCCATGGCGTCACAAAGAGTTGGACATGACTGAGCAACTTTCACTTCACTTAGGTCCCAAGACACTGCTGGTTGACACCCCTCCATCCTTATGTTCACACTGTTCCCTCTGCCAGGACTGCCTCCACCTCTTGTCGAGCTGGCGAACCCCTGGACATCCTTCAAAACCCAGTTTGGAGGACATTTCTGCTGTGAAGACTTCCTGTCCGCCCAGGAGCAGATTCAATCACTTTCTTATCTTGCAGTTACATGATGTATAACATCAGATCACAATCTGAGTAAGACAGTCTCCCCTACAAGACTGAACATTCCTCAGGGGCAGGAACCAGGGTATCTACTTCAGGGCATCTGAAGGTGCTACTGCCAAGGTGTCTGCCTGCCTGAGGCTGCCTCGCCCTAAAAGAAGTACCTTTTCCTAATCTGTCCAGAGGCATGGTCCACTCCATGCAGGAGTGACTCTGGGAGTAAATTAGGTTGGTCAAGGTGGGTCAAGGATGAAAGCTTGCATCTGGGGTTGGCCTTTCTCAGTGTGTGACCTTGGATAGGACAACTCATCTTAGTTTCCTCATCTGTAATCTGGGGCTGCCACCTACCACAGTGACTGCAAAGAGCGGATGGGACCAGACCAATGGACAAGGCAGGTGAAGTCCTGGAAGGGCACTTGGAGCAGACCGGAGGGAGCAGTCCTGAGTGGGCCCTGCTCACTGCTGCCACCAGGTGGCTGGGGTTGGAGGGGAAGTTGGGGAATCTGAGAGGGGCCAGGCCCAGGGCCTGTGGGTGGCTGCCGGCAGACAAAGAAAGGGTCAGTGCCCTGAAGGCAGGTGGACCCCAGCAGGTGGCCAACTAAAGTCCCTTGCCCTCTTCTGGATTATAACCCCTGCCTCACGGGGTTCCTGGAGGAACAGTGAAATGACGGATGGCACACAGTAGATGCTCACTAAATGACTGTTCCCTTCTGCCCAGGACGGCAGCTGAGATGCACACCAGGGTGGAACCGAGGCTGAGGCCCCTGAAAGCCCAAGCCTCTTCCAGGGTTATCAGGGACCCAGGGATGAGGGGGGGCCCCAGTCGTGCCTGGTATCCCCCTCCCCAGCCCCCAGACCCCATCTTGCCTCCCCCAAGTTTTGAACCAAAGGTTCCTTGGCTATCGCCTTCATCCCATTTGCAGCACGCCCTCGCCCTAGATAACCCAGGCCTATTTGGGAGGCTCTGCTTTGGCCCCAGAATGTAAATAGGCAGAAGTAGCTGGAAACTAATTGCAAAATTTATTCCAGGGCTGCGAGGGGTGGGGGGTTCTTAAGGGCACTTCTCATTTGGGGGCTGGGGTTCTCCAGCCTGGCCAGGGGCACATGTTTCAGGAGAGAGGGACGGGCACTGAGACAGGGTGCTGGAAGGCGGGGGCAGGGATGCCCAGCGATCTGCAACTGGGCAAGCTCAGCACAAGCTGCAACAGCATCATGAAAGCAGGACAGACCGTGGACGCCCGGCCTGGAGACAGAGGACACTGAGGCCTCTTCTCTGTCTGAGGCCCGGGAGAGGGTCTTTCAGGACGTAGGAGAGGGGTTGAGGTCCAGCTTCAAAGGTGTGCAGCAAGGAACCCAGTGGGATGGGGCCAGTGAAAAACGGTTCATCAGCAATGTCCCTGATCTGAAGCCCCGTACACTCTCCCCCCAAGATCACCCTGATTTCCACCCACAGAGACTCTGAGGTCCCCGCAGTCCATGTTGCTGTTCACCTAGTGGAGTGGGGGGACAGGCTCTTCTCTGGATTGGAGTGGGGGCTCAGGAATAATGACCCAGCACCACCCCCAGGATACTCGATATGAGGGTGTCTGGAGAGAAACCACGGGCTGTCCTTGGTGCTAGTCCCCCCATCCCAGTCTCAGTCCTCAGATCTGTCCCCTGCCCCTCCACATACATACCTTTCAAGGAGCATCTAAATTAAAATCAAATAACAAAACAAAAAACTTCTTGACTACAGCCTTGCAGATAAATACCAGCCAGGAGGGCCAACTGTGAGCAGGGCTAGAATGCCGATTGTGCCAAACCAAACTTCTCTGGCGGGAGAGGGTTAGAAAGATTATTGTAGCAAAATGCTTTTCAGATAACGTGTCAAAGTTCTCCCCTGCAGACGTCAGATGGGGCAGAGGGTTGAGGGAGGAGGTCTTTTTGTCCTAACCAGTCTCCCAGTGTCCTCCAGGGCCCAACAGTCCCTTGCCTAAGTTTGCAAACTCTGTTATCCTTAGTTTACAAAACAGAGGGCTTCCCTCCTGATCTCCAGGAGGGGGTCTGGAGACCCTCTCCTCTCTCGCCCACTGATGTCCACTCGACCCCTCTCTGCCTCTGCTCCCAAGAGAGGACAAAGGGATGACTTCTGACTCAAGGGACGTTGAGGCCCACCAGGGAATCCAAACCTCTTCCCTGGGCCTGGGATCCAGACTCCAGGACAGACAGCTGGGAGCAGGGGGAAGGAAGGAGTGGCTAGCAGCCACCTCCTTGGGGCACTCTGAGTGGCAGGCAAGTGCCAGCGGTGAGCGGGGACCACCCGCCCTCAGCCAGGCCCTGGTCACCCTCACCCACCTTCCCAAGCACAGGGCTTCAGAAAGCGGAGGGGCAGCGGCCTTCGTGGTGGGGTCCTGGGTCAGCGTAATAAAAATAAACCACCTGGAGGCCGCGGGGGTGCTGCGACCCCTCCCCTGGCCCTGGCCCGGTCCCCCTTTCCCCCGCACCGGCCTGAGTTCAAGTCTGCTTGGCCTGCAGCATCTCGATGAGCAGGTTGTTCCGGGGCATCTCGTTGCCCAGGTGTTTGTGGTACAGGTACTCCTTGGCCTGCACGCTCAGCGCCCGCACCTCCACCAGGCACAGCAGCAGCTGCTGGAACTTGTCCCCGCAGTGTGGGTAGTGGCACAGGGTGTAGTCGAGCAGGGCGGCATTGGCCTTCTCCTGAGCATCCTTCACCAGGCTGTGGTTGTTCAGGAACTTCACATCTGCAGAGGGAGGAGCTGGTCACCAGTCCCGTCACATCACCGACCCCGTCGCTGGCTTCACCCACACCAGCGTCCCTGCGATCACCAGAGACGTGGGCACTGCCACCATCAGCCGCAAACCACGGTCTTCCCATCGCCGCCATGGCGCCATGCCCGCGGTTGGCAGTATCAGTCACCAGCACCAGCATCCCTGGTTTTCACCCACACGGTCCCTGCCGCCGTCACCTGCCAAACCGCAGTCGTTCCTGCCACCCCCAGGGTCGCCATCACCATCGACACCTTGGCTGAATGCTGCCACCAGCAGCAGTCACCGCCGCTGACACCCCTGTGGTTATCACACACTGGGCCACCGCCGGCCACCGAGCTACAAGCACCTGTCCCCACCGCTGCCGCCATTGTCATCGCGCCCACCATCACCATCACCGAGACCATCGCCAGCCTCCCCTGGCACAGCCTCAGACCTGTTTTTGAACCTCTCGATTTCTTCACTGGCAAAGCAGAGTGACTGATGATAGCATCTACTTCACAAGATGGTTGTGAGAGTTCAGGAAGCCGATATCCAGAAAGTGCTCAGAGGAACAAGTGTCTGGCACTGTCCTCAGGTTCCCTGGGTTAGTGTCATTGTTACTCCTGCTCTCCCCATGTCCATGACCAACACCATCCCCCACGGTCAAAACCATCCTCTTGCCATCGTCTCCAGGGTAGTGACCATCTGCATCACCACCCGACCACCATCATCACTGTCGCCCATCAGCACCGTCCCGAGAGTTGCTCTGTGATTGGAGGGGTCCCGTCCACTACTCATTCCAGAGAGTGGCAGGCATTCTTTTGATCCACCTTCTGACCAATCAAGAGGCCCCAGCACCCCAAGGAAATTCTCTCAAGGGGCCATGGGGAGGGGGCCTTGGATGTTCACTGCAACAGTGTTTACGGTGATGGGGAGGTGGCCTGGATGGCCGGGTGGGGGCTACACCCCCAGGAGTCCTGTGCAGTAGACAGAAGCAACGCAGCAGACACAGCACTGAGCAAAGGGACAAATCCTTTAAAGGGGCTGAGCGGGGCGGTGGGGGGGAAACAGAATAAAAACAAAAAAGGGAGAATCAGAGTGAGATCTGTAAGGGAACACCATCTTTGCTGTTGTTGCTTAGTCACCAAGTCGTGTCTGATTCTTTTGTGACCCCACGGACTGTAGCCCACCAGGGTCCTCGGTCCACGGGACTTCCCAGGCAAGAATACTGGACTGGGTTGCCATATCCTTCTCCAAGGGATCTTCCTGACCCAGGGGTCAAACCCATGTCTCCTGCATTGGCAGGTGGATTCCTTACTGCTGAGCCACGGGGAAGCCCCAAAGTCATCTACATAAATTAAAAATGCTTGCAAAGGACTTCCCTGGTGGCCCAGTGGTTAAGACTCTGAGCTCCCAACGCAGAGGCATGAGTTCCATCCCTGGTTGGGGAACTAAGAGCCCACATGCTGTCCAGTGCAGCCAAAAACAACAAAAACCAAAACAATAAAAAATGCTCGCACACAAAACACGGACATTGTGTGAGAACAGGGACAACATATAAAGGGACAGTTGCCGATGGGAGGGAGAGGTGGGTGGCTGGGTAGCTCTGTGTGGGCCAGGGACAAAGGAGTGTGGTCAATGCATCCTCTGCCCAGAGGTCCAGTGAGGAGACAAAAATTAAGTGTCTTCAGTGTGAAATGGATGGTGGTTGAAATCCCAGCCCCACCACTTAGAATCGGTGACCCATGCCCTGTCGTCTCCTGACCTGAAGGCCTTCCTCCTCTATGAAAGGGGCCACTCCCACCTTGCAGCAGGGGAAGCTCAGGTGTGGGGGACGGGGGGGGGCTGCACAGTGCCTGGCCCCCGGGGTGCCCATAGAGCTGGTTTCCTGTCACAGGAGCCCTCCTCAGCTCCTGGGCAGCATCTTCAGCTGGTGCTCTGCCTAGGGTCTACCAGTCAGCGGGAACCCACAGACCCTGCCCGCATGCCTGACTCCTGGCCCCGTCTGGCCTGGGATGCGGCGGCCGGTGGTTCAGAAAACAGTCGTCCATCCACTTCCCCTTGGCTCCCACTGCTCGCAGCCCTGCCGCTGCGGGGGAGTCTGGAGCCCAGCATGCGCAGCCCTTGGCCCTTCTAATCCCTCTTAACACCCGCTGCGCCAGGAGGGCTGGATGCTCCTGGCAACCCTGATCCCCAGCCGCCCCCAGCATGCCCATCGAGGCCTGTGTTGTCCAAAGTCGGATTTAGGGAAATCCGAGCTGGACCTCGGGCGTATGGCAGGATCTGGGCACTCCCCCGCTCCAATCTTTCCCCCATGATATCCTCCTCCCCTTATACACTGAGTGAGCCAGGGTCATGTTCTTCTTGGCTTCCCCAGAATTTCCATGAGCCCATAAGGCATCTTTGTGCCAGTTATACAGAAGGTTCCCCCTACCCACAGAAAGACAGCTTGGTGAGGGGCATGGGATGCAGGCTGGATTTCAGCCTCTACTTTTCCCCTGTCTAGGTGCCCTTGTTCAGTTAAACAACCTGTCCAACTGTACATAACAGCTCTGTTCCCTAGCCTGGTCCTCTCCAGATGCAGTCAAATGTCGTGGGAAGTCTCCCTACCTAACTAGCCTCCCTGGGGGCAAGAGGTGCCTACTGGTCCCATCCATTTCCCAATCTCTTTCCAGTCCCATCTACCTTCAATCCCTACCATCCCCTGGGTTGGGCAATTCTCCAGTTTGTCTTCTGACAATTTACAATAGAAGGCTGGGGGTCCAGAGAAGGGTAGTGACCAGCTCAAGGCCACAAAGAAGGAAAGGGGCCCAGAGGAAATAGGGGAGGGTGCGGGAAGGACTGGCCAAGATGCCGCAGTAGAGGCAGGAGTGAGGGGGCTGGGGAGGACCAGAGCCTCGGCTTTACCAGGATTTACTGTTCCCAGCAGCAGTGTGACGGGGACAGCAGGGTGAAGCACAGGGTGGGGAAGTGCAGACAAGGACAGCTTTCAGGGACACACCCCTCCTGGCAGCTCTCAGCGGGCTGGAGACCCCCACTGCCCCCCAAGGTGGGCTGCAGGGCTGGGGGAGGGATGCACGGTCTCTAATTGAGCCCCAGCCACCACAGTGCAAGACAGGAAAGTCGTTTTCCCAGAACCAGCCGCATCTTCCCCGCCCACGTCCATCAGTTAATCCCTGCAGACAGGAAGACAGGCAGGAACGGGTGTCCTTCACGCAGGCGTTAAGGACAGTGGAGCGTGCCTGGAGCAGACAGTGGATACCAGAGCCGGGACTCGAACCCAGATCTCTCTGGCTCCAAAGCACTATGGGTAAGCAGGGGCGGGGTCGGGCCTGGACATGGGTTCCTGGGGGATTAGATGACATGATGACCTCATGTTCCATCCAACCCAGGAGTCTGGTCCAAGGACCACCCAACCTGGGGTCCTTAGCTTCCCCAGGGAGACTTCTGGACTCCCCCTTGGAGGGGAGCGTGATCAAGTCATGCCTCTTCTCCTAGCCCTCCTCTAAAGGGACTGCTGTGAAGATTCTCTGGGATGACCATGTGACAGAGCCTACATCCCTTGGGACAACACACCCTTCCTCCCTTAGACACAGGAGCAGGAGTCACAGAATCCTGAAGGTGTCCCCTCCTGTGTCGGGGGCTCAAATCCCAGCTCACCAGCTGGGTGACTGGGGACAAGTCTCTTCCCCAATCTGAGCCTCAGTTTCCCATCATCTGCACAATGGGGGCAAATTCAACTCTGCATCTCAAGGCACCTAAGAACTGGACCTCATCTGCTGCCCAGCTGTGGGCCCTGAGCCGCTGAAGGTTGGAGATGGGCCTGCTCAGCAGTCCCGGGGGTGGGTGGGGGAGCTGGGAGATAGCACCCCCACCTCCGAGAGCAGCCTGCTAGCTCCAAGGAGCCAGGGGCCCCCAGGTTCTCAGAAAAGCCCCCTTTTCACGGTTTAATTGAATATTTGAATAATCCTTTCATTCCAGCGAGGCATAAAGAATGTTGTCCCAATAGCGGTGACTCAGGCAGGCGCCCCCGCGCACAATGGCCCCTCGAGTGGGGCTGCTATTCAGGCCGCCTTTTGTTGGCGCGAGCAGTGGGTAAATTGCAAACGCTTAAGGGAATGCTGCTGCCGCCGCCTCAATGCAAGTCAGGAAATCGAATGTTAGGTCAATCCATTAAGCTTCGATTAAGTCCTCTGCAGAACAATGCCAGCCGGGCCCATCTTCATAAACACCGTGATTGCCAGAAGAGAGGCACTAATTTTAATTAAACCTCCTTACCTGCCTTCGCGCCTGCCTGAGCCGGCTATTTAGACGCCAAATGGCACCCTTCTGTGGAGGCAGGCGAGAAGGGGCGGCTGGGCGGAGGGTGGGGTGGCCGGGGTGGGGGGACAGTCATCACACGGGTTCAAGCTGAGCAGCCCAGGGAGGTGCTGCCTGGGGCGATGCTCAGCACGCCAGCTGAAGGGCGATGGGCAAGTGGCCACCCATCTCTTGGGCCCCAGTCCCCTTGGGGACCCCGGTCTGGCAGTCTGGGTGGGATCTTGGGAGTAGCCCCCTCCCACCTTCCAGACTCAGGGCAAATCTTGCCCCTCATCTTGCCCAGATGTATCCGCTTCTCCCAGCCCCACGTCCCACCTCTGGCAGGGCTCTGGGCTGCCACGGGCATCCTTTTCCCATGCTGCAGTCAGAAGGACCTTTCCAAAATGCAAACTCGACCATGATTCTCCCTGCTGCAGATCCATCCCAAGGGAAGGTTCAAGGTACTGGCCTGGCCTTCAAAGCCTTGCACAGCTCGGCCCCTGCCCACCTCGCCAGCCTCCTCTTTACCCTCTCCCTGCCCCACAGCCACACCCGAGCTGCCAGGATTCTCCCCATCCCTCTGCACCAGCTGTTCCTTCGGTCTGGAACGCCCTCGCTGCTGCTTGCTTTGTTTCTCCCAGAATACTCCTGCTCGGACAGCAAGGCCCAATGCAGAGGGCCCTTCTCCAGGCTGATTTCCCCAAAATCCCAGCTGTCGTTGGTTTCTCCTCTTTGGCCCAGCTCTGCTCACCCTGGACTGCTCAGGCTCCTCTCCTAACCTGGAACCTGTCAGTCAGCAGCCTCTATGGCTCCTCTGGCTTCCTCTCACTGTGCACCCAGGAGCTCAGAAAAGCCTGGCTCACAGGTCTTCTCCCTTCACAGCCCCAACATTCTGGACCCCACCTGGAGGCTCACTGTCATGACCCAGGTCACTCCCCCCAAAGACAAGGCAGAGTGTGAGATAAAGATGGAGAGAGACTTGTTCATTCATTCACTTCATTCCCTAACTTGCATTCTGTTAGAGGGAAGATCCCGCCCCCACCCTCCACCACGGTTGTCTCCTACCAAGCCCTGTAGCCTTGCAGACAAGCCCCCGCCAGCTACCAACCTGTTATGCCAGGGTCAGGAGATCCAGCCAAGGCACCCAGTCCCATGACCACAGCCTAAGCACAGGGCTTCCCCCAGTCAATACTCCACTAATCACCCCACTCCCAGCCTTTATCTTACCCTCTGCTTCCCCAGCTGCCCCAACTCTTGGGCAGGCACACACTTGCCAGACTGTGACTATGTTGTCATTTCCCACAAAGACAACGTCTCCATCCTGCCCTCTCTCCAGGTGACAAGGCATTCACTTCCCTCCATTCCAACCTTCCATCCCATCTATACCTCTGCTAAAAGATGTATTCCCCCTAGCAAACTCCTACTCATCCTCCAAGACCCTGCTCAGATGTCCCTCTTCCAGGAAGCCTTCCAGGCAGATCCCTTGCTCCCCATCCTGGGTTCCCCATCTCTCTGTCTCAGCCCTGATGGTGCTGGGCGAAGGCCTCTGCCAGACTGGGAGCTGCCTGAGAGCCGGGGCACAGCATCGCTGGGCACAGGCAGGGCACTGGACATGGCTTGCTGGGTGAGGAAGGACAGAGGGAGGCCGACCTGCTGAGAGCCCAGAAGGAGGTGGAGACGGGAGTGGCACGGGCTGGGCCAGGATCAGGAGGGCACGAGGAGGCAGGCACCAGGCACCTGTGGAGCTGGGAGAACTGGTGGGCTGGGCTGCCCTCTGCTCCTGCCCGGCTTTTTTTTCCTCCTTGGCACTTACCACAGCCTTCCAGGCGACACATTTTACTAATCATTTCACTAATTTGTATAGTTTACTAATCATATTATGCTTATTGTCTCGTCTTCCCTTGAAGACAAGGATTTGGGGTTTTTTGTTTGTTTTTTGAGTGAGTGAATGAAAGAATGAATGAATGGGCAAAGGGGTCTGGGCCTCAAAGACACCCCTGGAGCAGGGAGTTAGGAAAAGCAGGGAACCTCAGGATGAGAACCAGGTGTCAGAAGCTCCTGAAATCACATGGGCATTTTCTGGGGGCCTGGGCGCTTCCCTAAGGCTTTCAGCCAAGAATTTACCAAATTCTCAGGAGAGGTCCTCATCCCATAAAGGGCAAGTCTTAGACCTCATCCTGGCCCTCTGTCCTCCCACACAGAGAAACGCAGGCCCAGAGATGAAGCAGGCCCTGGACCAGGTCCCCTCACAGATTTATTCACGAAGGCAGGGGTCCTGGCCTCTCCGAGGACGCCCATCAGAGAACCGCCCCATCTTGGGGTCTCCTTGCCAGCCCCGCCCCCACCCCACTGCCTGCCATCCACCTGACCCCCCAGGCCAGGCCTCGCTCAGCCCACTCACCGAGGCTGAAGAGAATGAGGAACTTGAGGCAGACGAACTCCTGGCGATCCAACTGCAGGGCATGCAGCTGCAGCACCAGCTCCTGCGCCCGAAGCACCAGGCTATGCAGCAGGGAGCCCGCCTGGGCGGCCACCGTGGCCAGCTCCACCTGGGTGGGCACAGGGCAGGGTCAGCGACGCGAAGGGGGGCATGCAGGGGATGCACGGCGCGGAGGCTGGGGATCAGGGGTGCCCCGCCTTGGGGCGGAGCTGGGTGGGGAGGCTTCTTCTCAAACCCCCCCATCCCTCCCAGGCTCCCGGCTCTGCTCCCTGCACGGAGCCGAGGGGCCTCACACAGCAGAGCTGACCCCAAGCAGGTGAGCACAGAGGGAGAGCTGAAGGGTCCTTCACGCACACAGAGCGGCCGCCAGATCCCGTGGCACAGGCAGCTTCTGTGTGGAGTGTGGCATCTGCTGTGAGTGCCACCTCGTGCTGGGTGTGGGGGTGGGGGCAGGGCGGCTCTGCCTGGAAACACGTGGATGCAGCCCCATGAGTGCCCCTGGGGGCCCACACGTGGACACCTGGAGGGGGGACGCGGCCACACCTCAGCTCACGTTCACATGCATGCAGGGACACACTCGCAGGGTCGTCCACCCACTTCAGGAAGTGAAAACACACACCCTCCTTGTATGGTCACATCACAGGGTAACACACACACATCCACACGTCCATATGTTCCCACTGACATGGTGATGGGCAGATCTCAACATCCACCCACTTATGTGTGTGGAGATATCTGCACAATAAGATACAGGTGCAGGCACACGCACTCACACTCCCATGGCCTCAGAGACGTCCACCCACCTGTGAGCACTTATGCCTCACACTCCCTTCATGTGCACTCACAGGTGGCCTCCAATTTACCCCCTTACAACCAGCTTTCTGCTCAGGTGAGGACAGAAGATGAAGACTAAGGGCCTGGGTTGGAGGTAGGGGCTGGGGGCAGGGCTTTAGTGTCCAATCCCCACCCTACACCCACTCCAAACACCTGTGAAACCCACTCCTCCTGTATCCACGCCACCCCCCACCCCACACACACACCAGGAGTGATGCTCCCTCCATAGGCTAGACCCTGAGCATCAGCCTCCCTTTCCTTCCTTCTCCTTCCCTCCATTTTCCCTCCACCCTGTCTCAGCCCCTCTTCGAATCATGCCCTCCCAGGTCCCAAGTGTTCTGAGCAGTGGGTGGCTACCTTCGTTTCCTCTTCACCACCCATCCTGCCCTTTCCTCAAATACAACTTGGCTGTGAACTTCCCCACTTAAAACTCTTCTGATGCCCCCTGTTTGATTTCAGGAGGCAACCCAACCCCACCATGTCTCCCATCCTGGGGTCCCTATTTCCCCCACTCTAAGAGTGCTCAAATTCTGACTTTGAGCTCTTTGGGGCCCAGGCCCCTTTGCCCATCCATCCGTCCATCCATCCATCCATCCATCCATCCATCCATCCCTCCATCCGTTCAGGATTTAGAACCTGCAAGCCCCCAGCCCGCCCTCCAGCTTTATCTCTTACCTCATCTCAGCCCCACAGGGCACCTCCCGTCTAGACCCACCTCCCAGAGGCCCCGGCGGCTCAGCAGTCCTAACCTGCCTCTCTGAGCTTGGCTCACGCCATCCCCTCTGCATGTGTGGAGGTGGGGACTGTCCCCCCACCCCTGTCACTACCCGACCAACCCTTATTTTCTTTCACTACTCAGTGCCACCATCACCTCCTCCCAGAACCTTCCAGACCCTCCCCACAGCTCTGAGCTGCTTCCCCCCAGAGCAGGGCTCCCAGGCGCTGGCTCCTTTCCAGGTCAAAGCTAGGGCTGGTCAGAGGGAGGTCGGGCTGGTGGGCATCCCATGAAGCTGGGGAAAGGGCTGATATTCAGCAATGTCTAGGGCCGGCCCTAGAGAGGCCTGGGATCTCTTCTGGGCCCAGAATTCTGGAAGCGCATAGTTGGTGGGGGGTGGGCGGGGGGGGCACAGTAGGGTCTGGTCACCTCCTGCCCTGTGACCAGCAGGATGCTGCCCTCCTTGCCATGCTGAATCTGACGGTAGATGTGGTCAAAAACCAGCAGCTCGCTCCAGCAGTTCTGCAGCAGTGTCATCTGGTCGGCCACCTGCAAGGAAGAGGCACACGGGGGTCCAGGGTCCAATCCTGCTGGGGACCTCCCCCTCGCCCCTCCCTCGCCAGCTCTGAGCTCAGACGCTCAGCCGCGTACGTGACCCGCGCAAGTTGCCCAGCCTCTGTGTCCAGTCTGCCCATCTGTCTTCCTCATCAAAGTAAGGCACAGGTCTGGCAAAATAATAAGAGGGTCCAGCGGAGGCACGCTGGACTTGGCTGGGCCTGGCTGCAGGCCATGACTCTGCCTCTTACAAGCTGTATGACCTTAAGCAAATTCTGTCACCTTTGTGGGCCTCATCTGGAGGCCCAGTTTTCTCCTCTGGAAAGTGGGCAAAGTATTAGAAGGTGGTCCGGCACATATGAAGCCCTCAGTAAATGTTAGCGAATAATGTCCACCAGAACACTTTGTGAAGGATTCCTTCAAATGCAAGGGAAAATGAGTGTTAATTTTCCCTTGTGCCCATTTGGTCTGTGGTCACATCTCTAGCAGCCTCAACCACTCCAAAAGGAGCCATGTAGGGAAAACAGGGGTCTTGCCCTGGGTCTTGGGCGGAACCTTCAAGCTCAAACAGGGCCCACTTGGCCTGCCACCCAGCCCAGGGAACGAGCAGGTGGCTGGCAACGGTCTACATCGGCGGGAGGAACAGAAGGGCACACAGGGCTGATTCTGAATCCCCAGGCTATACTCAGGGGCACTCAGTGTGAGGGCAGGGACAGTCTTCCAGCATGGTGAACGCCACACTCTAGCCTGGCAGGAGTGGACCCTCGTGACAGTGACAAGTGGGACTCAGGACCACGGGATGCCAGAGCCAGAAGGGCCCTCAGGGAACCCCCAGCCTAAACTATTTCCAGATGAAGAATCTGCCACTCAGAGAAGGCAAGGGACTCTCCAGGAATCAGAGAGAAACAGAGCCAGGCCAGGGCCATGGCCGGCATTCGCGATCCACAGCTCACAGCGGTGACAAAAATTGTCAGAACGGTTCAGAACAGTGCTGGGTGCAGTATGTCATCCTGGGAGGACACAGTGCAGACTCCAGTCCTTCTCAGCATCTGTGGCTCATGGACCAGCCACAGTCTACCCAAGGGGCACTCCCCCGGCACCTTCCCGGGCCATGCCCTGCAGTGAATGCAAACTACATCTAGTCATGGTGTTACAGCTCCACAAGTGTTTGTGGTAGGTACTACGGAAAAGGGGGGCTTCCCTGGTGGCTCAGATGGTAAAGAAATCTGCCTGTAATACGGGAGAGCCGGGTTTAATCCCTGGGTCGGGAAGATCCCCTGGGGGAAGGGAATGGCTACCCACTCCAGTATTCTTGCCTGGAGAATTTCACATATAGAGAAGCCTGGAGGGCTGCAGTCCATGGGGTCACAAAGAGTTGGACACCAAGGAGAAAGGACACTGAGCTCAGAGAGGTCAACTAAATTACCCAAGGTCACACAGCTCTATCTGGTTCATTTGTGCTTTTAACCACTAGGTATGGAGGAAGCCCGACCCTTGCCACCCCAGAGCTCAGGGCATGTTCACTACCGCCCCCAGAAAGCCTCCCCCTCCTCCGGATGTGGCAACTACAACATCTGATGGTACTATTCATGTCTCTTCTTCATATCTTCCCTGATAACCTGTGGGGTCTGCGAGGGCAGGATTGGTATCCAGCTCATCTCTGGGCCCCCAGAAGAGGGGGGTCAGTTTTGCTTGATGAACAAATATGTGTTCCTCAAGACATACACAGATAGCACAGAGGAACTACCCTCAACCTGGCGGCCAGAGGAGTCCAGGCAGCCCCTGGCCTGTGGGCAACTGGCCCAGACCTGACCAACAGCTCTCTTCTTGGCGGGGGAAGGGGTAGAAGCCCCTCTTCCCCTCTGCTCTGCTCTTCTCCTGGGGCTGGCCCTGGGGCCAGTCCTCAGACAGACAGGAGGAGAAAAAAGTGGACAAATAGCAAAGCAAGCTGCTGGACACACAGTCAGGTTCCTCCAGGACTCGCCTGCCCAGCCCTTCCCCAGCCTGCACGGCTGAGAACAAGAGCAAGGGTCTGTCTCTACCCTGCTCTGTGTTCCCATCCTCCTACCTCCCCGCACCTCCATGTCAAGAACCCACCACTCCCGTCCTCTCCCGGCAGAAAGTCTGTCTTAGAGCCTCATAACTGTCAGAACAAAAACACCCGGGCTGGGGGAACCCAGGCTCAGGCAGAAGTCGCCCTGCATAGGAGGTGCCAGGAGAGACAGAGCAGGCAGGGAGCACCTTGCCTTATCTCACCTCAGGAAGCGGCCAGCCCCCCGAGAGCCTGCCCATCACTTCCAAGGAGGGAGGCAAGGCTCCGCAAGCACCTCGACCAGGCCCCGTTCCCCGTCATCTCCTGCTCGGGGAGTCACACTGGCCCATTTTGGCCAACCCAGATGGAGACAGAGGGTGTGCAGGGATGGGCTCTGCCCACCTCCCACCCCCCCACCCACTGGGGCCCTCGGGAGCAGACACCCTTGTGCCTGAATTAAGGGAACAGGGGGTGGGGCGATGGAAGCACATGAGATAAGGGGGAGAATTAGGAGATAAGCTGGCTGAGCTTTGGGCAGAAAGCAGAAGGGGTCACAGTGACCCGGCAGGCCGAGCCCCGGGAGCAGACTCTGTACCCAGACCTCAGACCCCGGGAGTGGGGGCAGCCCTGCCACGGGGGTGGAAGGGGCACAGGCAGAGAGGTGCACTATGGAGGCTGGGCTTCGGCGCCCTGTGCCTTCTGGTTCCCACTTAGCCACACACCTGGCCCTGATTTCCTACCCTGAGAGATGGGAAAATAAATCCTCCCTCTTTTGGTTGCAGAAAACATATGAGCCCAGCGGTGTCCGTCGTGAAGGGTTCCCAGGTGACTTATTCCAGAGACACTGCCCCCCTCGTCTGGGTTCCCCTACCCACCAGCTAAGCAGTTGCGCCTTCCAGACGCTTCACTCTCACTTCGTCTAGATGGATACACAAGGATACCAAACTCCAAACATTCCCCACACAGAGGAACGCGTGCGCTCACGCACACACACACACACACACACACACACACACACACACCCCTTTTCATTAAAAGGAAAACCACAGGGCCAGTCCCTCTCCATAGGAAAGCAGGTGGCGAAGAGGCTCACTTAACCAGAGAGGGCTGGTCTCCACCTTCCGCAGGCTTCTCCCTAAGCAAAAGGTCCTCTACCTCTGCCCTGCCACCCTGGCAATCAGGGCATTTGCAGTCGCAGCCCTGGGGCCCCTCATCAGCCGGGCCTGTCTGCTGGGCCCACCAGCCGCCCACCCCTCCAGCCGGTCTGCCACTAATCTTCCTGGAGCCTTGACACTTCGCAGCCTGCCTCGGAGACCGGGTATTTATGGGTGCTGAGATGACCTCCCTCCCAGGGGCCCCCTCCGGAGCCCCCGGGGCCTGATCGGTCTGGCGGGCGAAGGCCAGCGGGCTCCGTGATTCTCCGGGGGCTGCCAAGCCATGGGCTGGCCCCGGAGCTCTCCCGGCCGAGTGGTTGGCGGCCTGTCATTTGTCAGCCCAGGACTGACAGAGTTACTGTCACTTAAATGAAACCATATATCTAAGCAGCTAAATCTGTTGCCGATTGAGGGCCTCGGAGCTGGGCGTCAAGGGTGAACTGATGTCAAGATGGGTCATTAGGCGTTCCTGGCCCTCGCCTCCACCTCCCTGATTGCTGTCTTGCATCCTCCCAGCTGTGTTTCAGGGGGACTGTCCAGAGAGGCTGCCCGCCTGGGCCTACACCCTGCCCCCACTGAGCAGTACGTACAGGTGGGTTTCTGCTACCTTGCAGGTACAAAGCTGCTTTGGAAGCACAGGGCAAGGTGGGCCCTGTCTTCTCTCAGAGCCCTAGCATGCTCAGAGGAGCACGGAGGTGATATATCTTTTCTCCTTCTTCCTGTCCTGGCCTGTCTGCCAGCTGCAAGGTTAGATTCAGTGGGACGGCAGCAGAGGGTGAGGGAGGGAGCTGAGCCCCGACTCACTGAACGCTTCCTGTGCACTGCACCCTGTGCTAAATTCTTTAACCTGCCCTCCGCTCACTAAGCCCTTCCAACAACCCTAGGAGGTGGTGATTATTTCCACTGCCCTCTTTTTACAGATATGGAAAACTGAGGCCCAGAGGAGTAAAGTCACGAAGGCACACAGCAGATGAGTGGCAATCTGGAAGCTGCACACAGGCCTTCTTGCTTCCAGTCTGTGTTTCCAATCTCTGTGCCACATCATATTTAGCACACCGCGATTGCATGAGATGGGACATCATGCAGAGACAGAGGGACATCGAGGCTGGGAAACAGGATGGAGGAGGGGAACCCCCAAAGAGCATCTGAAACCCCCAATATCAGCTCAGCAATGACCTCATGCCTGGGCAGTAAGACATCATCAGCATCACAGGGGACTGAGTGGGTCTCTATAGGGAGAGCTCCGGCTCTGCGGTGGGAGCCGGACTTCCCTGGCTGGCTGTCCATCACCGACCGCCGAAGGACCTAGTCCTGGTCCAACCTCTGCTTCCCGCCCTCCCTACCTCTCCAGCCCTGCCTCACAGTACTGCCTGGGGTCCCCTGACACATGATGCCTTTCTGCACTTCTGGACCTGACGCTGTTCCTATTTCCTGGAGCACCCTTAATCTTTTCAGGCTGCTTTCTGGAGATGGGCAGATCAAGAAACCTCTTCTAACTTTCTAAGAGAGAGCCATTTGCTCTCCTACTGGGTTCCCTTGGCCCCTTTCTACTGCTCTCAGAGACCTGGGCACTCTGTGCCCTGTGTTGGCGTTATCTATGTGCATGTCTGTCTCCTCCTCTGGCCTGCAGCCCCCTGGGTCCCATTCATTTCATTGTCCCCATGCACAGGCCAAGGGCGGCCCCGCTCTAGAAGCACCCTCTCTGCTGGCTGCTAAGATGTGTCCTGCCCAGAGGTGAGAAATGAAGGGTCAAAGGGGAGAACAGAGTCACTCGGCTCCCCTCCCACTTTTCTGCTTCCCTACCTCTGGCACTGCAAACACATCAGCCCAGGACTCATTGGACCAGTGGGAAAGAAGTTCCATATGGCTGATGAGAGGCCCTCTAAGGGCTGGGCTAGTACTTATCTGCAAGTCTCCTTTACAGAGGTTGGTAACCTGGGCTTGATTCAGAGACTCTGAGAAGGGGAAGCAGGAAGGTTTGGACCACAGAGAAGCCAGAAGCAGGAAAAAACACTCAGCAAAGCTGGGACAAAAGCCCTTCCCATCCTGCGTGAAAACCCCCCGAGAGACCAGGAAGGCGGCCAGAGGAAGTGCCCTGCCCCTGGATCCAGGGTTCTGGAAGGCCAGGAAGGCTCTGTTCCTCCTCCCCTCTGCACTGGGGACTCATGGGAGGCTTGGAGGGAAAGCTGGCAACCAATCCAAGGGTCTCAGGACCCTCAACCCCCATTCAGGGCCTCCAGGCAAGAGTAGAAGGCAGAGGGGACTGTTTGAGGCCCTGCCTCTTGTTCTGTCCATGAGGTCAGCCTAGAGAGGGGGCATGGGTGAGAAGTCCCACCCCACAACAGACAAGTGGCACATCCCCAGACCTCAGCCACGACAGAGGCCCTCCACAGCCAAAGCAGAAAACACCACTGCCAACTCTTGACTCCCAGGGCAACCCAGGCCCCCGGCCCCACAGTGCCCAGTGGGTTCATAGTCCCCAGCCTTCATCTCACCCCTCCCCCACCCCGAGTCCAGCCCAGCCCCGGCAGGCAGTGCCCCCGGCCCATCCGGCCACATGCCCCTGGAGGAAGCCCAGGCCTGCGTGGCGTCAGCCTGACAATGCTGCTCAAGGCTGCAGCGGCTCCAGCAGGGAGGCCACAGGCCCTGCTGTTTACAACTAGTACCAGTACAGCCGGGGGGCAGACCTGTGAGAAGCGAACATCAGCAGGCCTGGACTAAAGGCCTATCATGTCTTGGTCTGAGCCTGGGAGGATGGGCTTTGGCCAGGATTGGGGGGCCGCTGAGGTTGGCAGGACACCCTGACCAGAGGGAGCCAGGGCACTAGAGGGGCAGCTCTCAGCCTTTGAGCGCTTCAAACCACTGGGCAGGATGAGTGGGAAGTTTTTGTGTGTCTGGCCTTAGTTTCTCCTGCTGCTTTCCTGCTTATTTTAGCCACAGGTATCTCAATCCAGGGGAATGGAAGACCTTGCAGCCAAAGTATCTGGAAGATGAGAGGCGGGCACTGCCATCCCCTACTTATCCTGGCACCTAGCTCTCCCTGTGCATGCGCACACACACACATTTACACCTAGGACCAGATACCACAGGGCTTTCCTCGTAGCTCAGTCGGTAAAGAGTCTGCAGTGCAGGAGACCTGGGTTCAACCCCTAAGTTGGGAAGATCCCCTGGAGAAGGAAATGGCAACCCACTCCAGTATTCTTGCCTGGAGAATCCCAGGGACAGAGGAGCCTGGCGGGCTACAGTCTACGGGTCAAAAGAGTCGGACATGACTGTGCCACCAACCACCATGCATGAGAGATGAAGGGATAGTGAGAGGTTTCGCCTTAGGTAGGAAGGAGAAGCACCCCAAACTCTGAGATACTAACACCCCTTCTATGACATCTGAGGCTAGTGGGGAGTGGTGGCCTCTCCAAATGAGAGGACAGGAGGGCCTGGACTCTCTTCCTGATGCTGGGCTGGGGCAGCCAGACGCAGCTTCCCAGGGACTCAGCTAGTCCTCTGGGAGAACCTATAGAAAGAGAAGTGTTCAGAGAGATTCAGACTGGGAGAGAGACAGAGATTGAAGGGATTGAGAGATTGACAGAGATTGAGAGAGACAGGGAAACAGAGATAGCACACCAGAGAGAGAGACAACAGAAAGAGGTAGAGACAGAGATAAAGAAGCAGAGGCCGCGTGAGATAGAGACTCAGGAAACAGAGAAGGAGAAAGAGGGAGGGGTGAGTGGGGAGGTGGGAGAGGGGCAGGGCAGGCTGAGATGGACCAGAAATACTCCTCACTTCCCCAGGGTGGCCTCCCTGTCCCCTGACACAGCCTGAAGCCAGTGGGTAGGCTAGTCCCACCCAAGGGGTGGCCAAGACTGAGACTCAGGCAGCTGAGAGGACACCCCAGGTCCAGCGGCCAGCCAGGTGGGAGGAGGGACTCACCTCCAGCTCCTTGAAGACCATGCACCTGCGTGCCCAGTCCACGATGGAGATGAAGGTCTGGTCAGCCATTCTGCATAGGAGGCTGAAGGGCGCAGGCTGGTCGGGGCGGCCTTTGGTCGGTTCCTGCAGGCAGCCCACAATGCGTGCCCGTACCTGGTCCTCATCTGGCTCCAGCTGCAGCAGCTGTAGGATAAGTTCGGGCACGCCAGGCCCCCCCGAGAAGGGCTCTGGGTAGCCGTAGGGCGGCCCGGGCTGTGGGGGGCTGGCATAGGGCTCTGGGTACTCAGACTTGATGGCGCGGCCAGGGAAGGCAGGGTAGAGGTAGCCAGCCAGTGGCCCGTGGGTGCTGGGCACAGCCATAGGTAACGCCGGGGCCCCAAAGTCGCCCAGCGGCCCAGCTGGTGGACCGGAGGCCAGGCCCTTGGGCTCAGCTGCATGCAGGCCATGGGGCAGCATGTAGTCCGGTGGGGGAGGGGGTGGCGGGGGCACCCCCATTGGGGGGCCTGTCTCCAGCTTGAAGCCATTGGCTCGAATCTGTGCCTTCTTCTGCTGCTTCAGAGCCCGGTCCCGCTTGTACATGGGCCCAAACTTGTTCCGGCCGCCTCGCATGCGGTCAGCACGCACGGCTGTGGGCAGAGGCAGAGGGAGGGCAGGCTCATCCCCTCCAGGCCACCCGCCCTACCACTCTACTCACAACTCTTTCCCAGATAGATCTGATTGGGCCTCTCCCCAGCTCTGCACCTCTCATGGCTCCTCTGGTGCCCTGAATCTGGCATTCATAAGAGTCAATCCCCTAACCTGGCATTCACGGCCCTGGTTCCCTTGCCAGGTTGTCTGTCCCTCACGAGCCCCTGTCTTCTTTCCTCTCCACCTTACTACCTCTCTACATCTCTGCTTGGCATGTCCCCCACCAAAGTGTTCTGGGTTCACGGGCAGCATCCTCTCTTCTTACCCAGATGTCTGGCCTCTCACCCCAGAGTGCTATCATACCCAGGGTGAGAACTTCCGGGGGCCCAGCAATGGGCTCAGGTGCCCAGCACAAGGCCTGGCAGGGAGGTGGTGACGGGAAGTGGGCTCTGGTTGGCCTCACGTCCAGGTGGGTTCCCAGGGTCCAGCTGCTTCTTGACTGTCTGCCTAACTCTGTTGAACCCTTGTTGCGAAATGACTCAGGCTTCCCCTGCTGCCTTCAAATTTGAAGCTGAGTTTAGGGCTGGCTGGGGCTCTGGGCTGGGGGAAGGGACCTCCCTTGCTGACCAGATGTCCCTCCACCTGGCCAAGAATGTGTCACCAGCCGGACCCAACAGGTGTATCTCTGCAGCCAAAGTGTGGCCCCTGCCCCTGCTTAGACAGGACCCCGCCCTGAGCTCCAGGAGAAGGGAGAGGAGAGGAGGAAGAGGCCGGTGCTCAGCAAGGAGGGCATCCTGGGGCCCACCCAGCCAGTCTTCCTGCCATGGGAGTGGGCAGCCCCACTCCACTCCCTCTGGCCCAGGAGCTGGGGCCCTGGGCCCTGGGGGCAGGACAGGATATCCCCCTTCCATCAGGAGCCCTTCCTCTAGGTGGCAGGACTTATGGCCCCGGCAGCTTTCAGAGCCACCAGGGGCCTTCTACATTGTTTAAAAACTAACCAACAGCTGCCTGCTCGGCGCACAGCCCAGCTGGGGCCAGTGGGGTGGAAGCCTATGACTGTCCACCCTCAAAGAGCATGAGTCTTTCCCGCTGAAGCGTTTTTCTTCCCCTCTGGACGGAGAGTTAGGGGTGGGGGTGGGGAGACAAGGCTGGGCCTGGGTTCTCTGGGGGCACTTGGTCCCCACTCCCCAGCTCTCTAGGGGAGTGCTAGCTGGTCCCTAGCTGGCTAGGGACCTGCTGAGTGAGTGAACTGAGTGAACCTTCTGGTTGGATGGGCAGACGAAGAGATGAGTGGTCTGGGTGAGTGAGGGCTGCACAGTGATGCTGGATGGATAATAACACCAGTAAGGATAACAATAACACTAACCTCTTGAGCATTTTCTACATTTCAGGCCCCATGCTAGGAGCTTTTCATACAATTCTCTTACTAACTCAAGGCGGAAGGTACTACTGAAAAGTTCCATCCCTTGTGGTAAAGAATCCCCCTGCAATGCAGGAGACCTGGGTTGGATCCCTGGGTTGGGAAGATCCCCTGGAGAAGGGAAAGGCTACCCACTCCAATATTCTGGCCTGGAGAATTCCATGGACTGTATAGTCCATGGGGTCACAAAGAGTCCGACAGGACTGAGCAACCTTCACTTTCACTTCAGATGGGGAGTCTGCAGCTCAGAGAAGGTTAGGGACCTGCCGGCATCACCCAGCCTGTAAGTGATGGCACTGGGATTTGAACTCCAGTAAAGGTACTGAAAGGTACTGAAAACCTTGGCTCTGGCTTGGTGTTGGATGTCAGTGGGGGTGTTACAGAACTCACAGAGGGAGGAACTCTGTGGGGCTCTGCCCCCAAGGGCTGGGGAGAGGGTGCTCTCTCTGGGGTTCACTTTTGCATACTTCCCAATCCCGCCCCCCGCCCCTCCCCAGGCTGGTCCTATCCCTATCCCTTCAGCCAAACCGGCATCGTTCTCACCCCTCCCCCATAGGGATCGTTCCTAATTTCACGTGAGGGACTAACCGCCTGGCCTCAGAAACTTCAAGAAGACCTATGGTAGCCTCCCCTCACTCCTTCTCCCATCTCCACCCCCTGCCCCCTCTCCGTCAGACGTCGGGGGTAGGAGGCACTGCACGCGCACCTTCCAGGCGCATCCCCACCGTCAGGCACTTCTGGAAGCGGCAGAAGGGACAGCGCTTGCGCTGCGTCTTGTCGATCTTGCAGCTCTGGCTCTCGGTGCACGTGTAGTGCTTGTTGTTCTGCACCGTGCGCTTGAAGAAGCCCTGAGGGAGAGGGGAATCAGCGCAGGAGGGGGACAGGCTCTGTCTCCCCTTCCCTGCACCTCCCAGCCGGGCTTTCCGCCGCGTCCCCGTTCGTGGCTCACCCGCCGCCGTTCGCGCCTGTCCCCTGCCGACCAGCTGCCCGCTCACCTTGCAGCTCTCGCATGTGAGCAGCCCGTAGTGGTAGCCGGACACCTTGTCCCCACACACGGGGCACAGCTCGTCCAGGTCCTCGTCGTACGAATAGTCCATGCCCACGGCGTCCGCCTGTGGAGGGAGGAGAGGTTCATGGCAGGGCGGGACGGCCGCTGGTAGTGCTGGGGGCCCTGGGCGCGGTGGGTCCTGCGCCCCCGCGGCCGCGCGCCCCTCGGCCCCCTGCTTACGGGCCCGGTCCCGGGGCCCCACTGCAGCTCCTGTGGTCAAGGACGACTGTTGCAGGCCCCCCAAGAGAGCGTCCTGAGCAGCGACAGCAGCACATGTGTCCGGAGCAGGTCCCGTGCGTGCGGGGCCCTTGCTGGCCCTGTCCCCGCATTCCCGCCGCTCCCGCTTCCCAACCTCCCAGGGGCTCCTCCTGAGAGGCCCCCCACCGCGGCCGATCTGGGACTCTCAGATTAAATGCGCTTTGATCCGGATTCGTTCATTTAAGAACAAAACCCCGATTCTGAGAAAACGAGATGAGCTCGCCTGCCGGGATGATGCCATTGAACCCCGGGTGGAATGGGGCCCAAGCGTTCTGGGGATCGGATGGGGACGAGGGAGACAGAGGCAGAGTCTGGGAGACCCAGAGATGGGCAGAAAAGAGAGCGAGAGACACCGACTGAGGCTACTTAACTGAGAGAGTACCCCGGGGGGCGACGGAGACAACGAAAATCCGAGAGTAACAGAGAGGCATTGATGCAGAGTCAGAAAACCTGAGGGAGACAAGAAAGGTGAAGAGACAGCGAGATAGAGACAGAGAGTGCAGTGGAGACAGAGACGAGAGAGCGAGAGACACAGAGGGCAGAAAAGACAGAGATCAGAGGCCCAAAGAGAAAAAACCTCGGAGAGACAGCTGCAAAGCCAGAGACACGGTGGTAGACGAGAGACAGACCAAGACACCGGAGAGACAAGAGGAAACCTGGGAGATACCCAGCCAGAGAGACAGAGACACTGAGAGAAAACCTGGAGAGACGGAGGAGCCCGGCCAGGGGTTCGGGGACGGGGAGACCACGGAAAGCGGTCGGACCCCGGCCCCGAGCTCAGAGGCGCGGCCCGGCAGAGTCGGACCCGTACAGGCGCTCGAGCTGACAGAGGCGGACAACGACGGCACCGGGCAGAGAGCCCGAAATCGCGGAGCTGCCGGGCCCCCAGGCCAGGAGAGACAAAGCCCGTGGGCGGCAGCCACCTTCAACGAGACCGAGGCCGTGCCACCGAGACGGGGACGTCGGGCGGAGACCGGCGAGGAGGGCGCAGCGGGGACAGCGGGCGCCGGGCGTGGAGCTGCAAGCTGGACGCGAGGCGCAGAGACCTCGGACGGAGACCCCGCGGGCCCCGAGAGAGAGGCCGAGCCCGAGGCGGGGGAGCGACCTCGGGCGGAGAGTCGAAGTCCCCAGGAGGGAAGCGCGCAGAGCCTGGAAGGATCCAGGCAGCGCAAAGAGGCGCGACGGCGGCCGCGGCCCGCCCGGCGCCCACCTGGCGGCTCCTGCGAGCAGCAGCGCCCCGCGTCCGGCCACCGCGAGCCCCGCACCTCCTGGCCGCGCCGCCGCCGCCGCCGGCGATGAGCCGCACCCGGGCGCAGCGCCGCCCGCCCGCGATGACGGCCGCTCGGGCCGGGGGCGGGGAGGCGGGGGCTCGGGGCTGGCGGCGCGGGGCCTCGGCGCTTCCCCACCCCGCCTCCCCGCCCCCGCCGCCTCCAGGGCCGCTCCGAGGCGCACCTGGGACCCGGGCCCCTGCACTGCCAGTGCGCGCTGCGCGAACCCGCCGCGCCGGGACCAGGGGCCGGCCGCTCTATATGGGCTCCTGCGGTATTCGGGGGCGGAGGCCCGGCCCGCGCCCTCCAACGCCACCGAGACGGGTTCGTGTCTTTCCTCTCACCCTCTCGGACCCCCATTCCCATCCCGGCCCCCGGATCCCGGGTGCCCGGGAATCTGAGCAGGTGCTGGGCGCCTGGGAGCCTTGGGCCACCCTCCTGCCGTGAAAGGAGTCGAGTCCCTATTTGTAAATCCTGCTTAGTCTTGGTGAGGGCCACGCTGGGGGCGCTGGCCGTTTTGCAGCATGGAAACAGGTAGGGCAAACGTGGGGAGACCGTGGCCAAGACACCGGTTCACGGCTAGAAACTGGGTCCCCACCCCCACCCCCACCCCCGCCCAGGCACATTTCCTCAATGGAGATTTAAGCAAATCTCCCCTCTGCAGCCTTCAGTTTCCTCATCTGTAAAGTGGGAGTGATGACTGGACTTTAAGTGTGGCCGTGCGGATGAAAGGAAGTAGTGTTGTCAAAACACATGCCTGGCACTGCGGAATCGCTGAAAGCATCCAGTTGGGAGACCTGGAGCAAACTCTTCTCCTTGAGCTTCGGTTTGCTTGGCTTGAAATGGGAGTCGTAGTAATCCCACCCTTAGAGTTTTCCGAGGTCTGGTAAGGACTCAAAGCCACCGAGGGCGTGGGAGCTGGGAGAATAGAACCCGGGGGGAGGAGAAATCCCCTTCCAGTCCAGTTCTGTGCTCTTACTTGCTGAGCAAGAGAGTGCCCGGCATCTCTAGGGACAAAAGTGTCCTGGGGTCGTCGAGCCAAAGGACTGAGCCATTGCTCTGGGCTGGAGGGCATCTATTCAGTCACTCTCATTTTTCGAATGTAAAAAATTGAGACCCGAGAGAGGAAGGCGCCTGCTTGCATCCTGCCCCTGCCCCCTCAGGGCACCTAGGGTCCAAGAGAGTGTTGCGAACAATGAAGCCTAAAAGGCCCGATCTTCAAGCGGGGAAATACCACAATTAGGCATTTGCAGCTTCGCGGCCGCCCAAAAGGCTCAAATCTGAAGGCTCGGACCCTAGGCTGCGGTCTGCTTCGTCTGGGCCTGTGCCCCGAGGCCTCTGGCTTTAGCTGGATCTGGCGCCTTGATCCTGCACACCGAGGCCTTAAGACCCCACGCAGACCACCTCCCGTCTCGCTCACCGGGCTGATGAAGGGCAGACGCTGCGGCCGACTTGTGAGGCAAGCTCAGACAGGTCACTTTGCTTCTCTGAGCCTCAATTTCTCCGTATATAAAATGGAAAAGGCCAGCCCTACAGAAGAGATTCTGTGGTTTCCGTGGGAGTCCATGGACCAGTCTTGGTGAGGAGGGAGGAAAGACAGTTAGTGCAGACCCCTCCACCCGTTACCCCAAACCCCTGAGAAGTCTGCAGGAGCTGGGGGGCGGGGGCCACTGCCACCCAACGGTCAGGGAGGGGCCCTCAGAAAGTGGCAACCAGGAGCAGCGGAGAGGGAAGGGGATTGAGGGGGAGGGCTGGGCTGGGGAATCCCCAGTCAGCTTCTCTGGGATGGAGCCCACCGGGGTCTCCTAGACCTTGTTGAGGACGACTCAGGCGGCGTAAGCACAAGTCTGGGCTGGGGACCCAGGTGGGGTGGGGCCTGGGCTCCAAGCCAGTTCTCTCCTTCCCCTTCCATTTAGATCCCCTCTCCCAGAGGTTCCACTGTCACTGGCTGGGAGCCCTTGGGTTGACCCTCCAGCTTCATTGCACCCACTCCTCACAGTCCTAGGTTCTAGCTCAACATATGGGGAATCACAGCCCCTCACCTACCTACCCAGGGAAGCAAACTCAGACCTGGACCAGCCACAGAACCCGGACTGACAGATGGATACTAGAGAAAGATGACTGAATCCACACAGAGACTCAGAGACATCCACAGAGACAGCACAGAGTCGCAGGCAGGGAGACGCAGAGACCCAAAGACAGACCCAGGGACCACGGATGTACATTCAGGCTACGAGGCTTGGGCCAGCGCAGTCCTGTGAACACCCGGCCACCCGGAGACAGCAGGACACACACAGACCCCCGTAGGGCCTGTCCCCGTAGGCCTAGCTCCTCCCGACAGCCAGCCAGGGAAAAGAAGGGGTAGCATGGTAGGAGGGCAGGTCTGGGGAGATCCCTGGCCCCTTTCCTGCCCAGAATAGCGGGCACCAGTCACTCAGTGGAGCAGGCAGTGGCTGGCCCAGGCCGCCGGGAGGCACTGAGGAGGGAGGCTGGCCATCAGAGGCCTGGGCCCAGGCCCTCACTTACGGAGCGGAAGGCGAGCTCGCACGCTGGATGAGGGTGGCCAGTGGGCACCGGGGGTCCAAGGGGAAGCTCCAGTGGCCCAGGTGGGGCGGTGGTGACCGTGGGCACACGGGAACTCCTTTACGCCACGGCGGGCGGCGGGCGGACAGTAGGCTGGCCCTGTCCGTCCGTCCTCCTCCTCCTCCTCCCCGCCCTGGGTGGGGGGGCCACCGGAGGCCCAATTGGTCTCTGCCCCCACGTGACTCTGCAGGCCTCTCTCCTTCTTTGTTGGTGTTTCTCTTCATTTAGGTCTATTTTTTTTTTCTTCTCCTAAAAGAAAAAAAAAAAAATACTCCTATCTATCTCGGGGCCGCGGATGGGGGCGGAGGCCAAGGCACTCTGGAGGCCTTGGCCAGCTGGCTGTTCCAGGCCGCTGTGGCAGCCCAGAGGCAGGGACCCCACGTAGGCGGGTAGGCAGCCCCGCTTGTTAGCGACTGGGTGGGAGTGGGCCCTGATTTATGGGCAGCTCCCCAACCCGGCCTGCAGCCCGGCCTCTCTCCCCTCGAATGGCTACCTCCCTGGGGCCTGGCCCAGCGGGGTCCGGCCTGGCCCAGACATGTGAGGGGAGTCAGGTCGGGCTGGCGTGGAGGCAGGGTCACGGGTGACTCGACCAGCTGGCCCTGCTGCTTTGGCCTGGTCTTTTTACTCTTTCAGAAGATGAAGAAAGGAAGAGGGGGATGAAAGGCAAGCAGGTGAGCTGACCGAACACCTCTCGTGTGTGCAATTTATTCCACGTCATCTTCTCTGAATGTCACCATCCACAGAGGGCTGCTGACACTCCCGGTCAACAGCTGGAGAAGTTGAGGTTGGGCTGAGACTGCCTGCAGGGCCGGGTGGTTGGTTCCAGTGGCTCCAGGGTAGGACAAGCAGGCAACTAGACCGGGACAAATAGGGCAGAACAGAGGGAAGGGATTTTTTTTTTTTTAAAGAAGGTCAGGCCTCCCCATGCAGCTGAGGGTGT